TTGGTGCAAGGGACCGAGCCCAGGTTGAAAGGGTTAATGAACCACAGTTAATTGGTTATACATTTTACTAATCGTTCACACCCTAGTTTGATTAGTGTTTCCCAATCTATATGCCTAAAATGAAAATCACCCATAATTATGACTTCATTAACAGCTGAAATCTTAATCTCACTGTAAAGTTTCTCACTAATTTTTATCAGTACCATCTGGTGGTTTGTAACAAATTCCCACCAAAAAACTTTTCCCTTTATATCCGCTTACAGAAACACAAATGGATTCAATCTCCTTGATATTATCTTTGGTATCTTCAACTTCAGCAGGATGCAACTCACATTTTACATATAAAGCCACTCCTCCCCCTCTCTTTAGTACTCTATCCCTAGTAACCTATAACCCTGTATTTCAAACAAATTCTGTCATCAAAATTATCTAAATTTTACCTTGTTTCAGTTATTACCATTATATCAAAATTCTCCATTCCTACCAGTTCCCTAAAGTCATCTATTTTATTTTTATACTTCTAGCATTACAAAAGTAACAATTAAGCCTATCTTTAGAACTACTTCTATACTATCTCTACTATAAATTATAAATTTACCTTCTTAGGACAGCCATCTTCACTGCTATCTTCATCCTGTGTTGATGTCTGAACTGCTTTACTCTCATCTCCATCTTCTGCTCCTTCCACAACCCTGTCATAAATCTTACAATCACCACAATCTTTGTGGTCTTTAACATTTAATATAGTTTGTTCATCAAAATACTCTGTTGTTATTTCACTCAAGACTTGTGGCTCTTTATTATCACCACCTTCACATAACTGTTTAATTTCAGACTTGTTGGCCACCAACATGACAGGGTCTAATCCATATACCTTAGGACTAAGCTTATAGTTTGCAAGATGCTGGCTGGTTGTGTTAGGGAAACCAGTCAAAACTTGTTTCTGCTTTACAATACATTCTTCTGACTTATCTTGGCTACTCCCTACTGAAGACTTGGAGAAGCCAGAGGTTTGGTAGTTTTGGGGAACAAGAAAATTTCCTTGATTCTGCTGCTGCATATACTTGTGCATGCTCAAACGAATATTGCTTGGGTTAGTCTGAGCATCAAGTCTTTCTGAATTCAGAGAAACATTAGCCCTTTGGAAACCAACAGGGTCAGGCATAGCTCGAACAGTCAATCTACTTGATTGGTCATCAGGAACGTTTTGAGGTGAGCTATTCTTATTTCCTTCATTGTTTTGGTGTTGACTACTCGACGTCTGAGAATTGTTTTCTTGAGATACTGGTAACATTCGAAGTGGTTGCCTTGTAAGGCTTAGTGCTGGGACAGATAATGTCTGCCGATCCAAGCTGTTGGTTCTGTAGCGGTTAAAGTTTTCAACATCAACGATAAGCACACGATCACTGGCATTTCCCACTGTAATAATGCACAACAAAGATAAATAAAACATTCTATTTGAATAACTGATTCATCACAAGTTCAATGAAAGAACTAAAACTATACTCAACAGCACTCATTGAAAAACAGGCAAATACTTAGCTGTACACATATCAGCAAAAGCAATTTAAAATATTTTATACTTATTAAATCAAAATGTGAAAACCAAAAAAAACTTCAAAATTTGTTTGCACATGCTTAGAATGAGACCAGCTTATAACCAACCTTCGTAAATCATCATTACATCAGACCAAAACCTTGGAAGAACAAGAGACTTGGTACTTAAGAAACAGGTCTCTCTTTAGCTACCTCTAAATATGTATCAAGTTATAAAACCCATAAAATAAAACAAACAGAAATGTGATCTAATAGTAAACAGGACAGAGCATCCTTGTATTAAGAATAAGCAAATGACACCAAAAATCCCATTACAAATCAATAAAAAGATCCAACAACATTCAAGAACATATGTCAGATGCAATGTAATGGATTAGAGAGTTCCAGAACCATCTCAAATAATTTCAGTAACACATAACACCAGGCAAGTCCAGATGTGCAAGATCATAAGAATTATAATAAACAGAGATAGGTGACATTTTTAGCTCTCAACAAAAGGGGGACAGTATAATAGATAATTGCAGGGAAAAGATCCTACTCCAATTAGTCAGTGGTGTGGAATTCATACAGCATGACATCGGGACAATAAGAAACTAATTTCTTTTCCACATTGTTCTTTCTATTACTAGAAAAAGACTTTTGGTAAATTTTGAGAAAGTCACCCAAGTTCCTAAAAATTCTTAACTGTACAGCAGGAGTCTAGCACATTCATATAAACATTTCAATATTATATATATATATATATCTGTGTGTGTGTGTGTGTGTGTGTGTGTGTGTGTGTATATACATATCCCTTTAATTCATAAACCCTCATTTACACATATGCACAGTAACAAAAGTATTCAAATTAACACTGTTAGTACATTGCTTATGCCTACAGTTGGAACCCAGTAAAATTTAACTGCCAACTCCAAGCATATTAAAAATTACAAAAAAACTTTAATTGTTTCATATATAAACACCATTTTAGTTTGTTAGGACTTCAATGTAAATCACTATTGCTTTTTCAGTTTTTGCATGGGATATTCTACATGCTGCACTGTAAAATCCTAATGACTAAATGTTAAGAAACAAAATACATGAACAAATTTATATGAAGAACTCAGGTTGAAAATGCAATATATGCTATTCCCAACAAAACAGAGCTGCCATTAGTAGTGTATTACTGGATATGTAGCATTTCGACTAAATATGGTTGCAGATAGTGTGTGGTCCAAAAAAATAAAATAGTTATATTTCAATACGATATTTTGTAATGGATTTATTTGATAAATATCCAACACCTGATTTCCTAACATTTTTTGTGAGACTGCAGAAAAATACACACACACATACACACAATTATATATATATGTAAAATTCAAATATGATTATTAATACTCATATATCTGACCAACATATTTCACACTGCATTAAGTCAAACAACTGGCAATAGAAAAAGAATATAATAAAAAATGAATGAGTGTGTGTGTGTTTTGTATCTTATGAATCACACTTTTTAGATATATATTTATGTTTCGTAATTTTACTAACTCAGAAAACTGACACACAAAGTAACTTTGTGCTGCGTCTGTAAAATAATGTATGAATATCGCAAACAGCATTAATTATATGTAAATTAATGTGTATTTTTATTTAAATCATAAAAGCAAGATTACTGTATCTATATAACATTTTTTAATACAGAATCTCTCCTTCAACCAGAGATGCCTTAGTAACATGGATCAGAATTTAAAAAACTGGGACTTATCTGATTTTGGTAAAATTTATATATGACATAAAATGTGTTGAGATATGATGACAACAATTTACAGTTTCCAAATTGAATAAAAACTGCCTTAATTATAATTGGCTACAACATCAGCAGAAACTTTATAGATAATGAAGAGTACTTCTTGTGCAACGGACGGGTTCTCTGCACGAGTCTTCTTCTGTTGCATTTGTTTTTCAAACCAGAGCCCAACAGATAGCTCTAAACCCTGCTAAATGTGACCAGAACTTTGATACTCTTCAGCAATGTCATCATCAATTACCATTATTCCCTCAATTACCTACAATGTACTAGGTTCCAAGATGTTCGACTTGCAACTTGTGCATGCAATCATGAACTTTCTGACAACCCTTGTTAATTCATCTATCAGGCCCACAGATGCTGTAGTAAGCACTCAAAAATAAGGTTTGGTGCTGACAAGGACAGTAGAGATAACAGTCATTGCCTTTGACAGATCAAAAGATTAAGAACAAGGTCTTCAACTTCAAACCAATAATGAAGATAGGTCTTATAATTTGATTTGAAAAACAAAAAAATTGTGCATCTGACCATTACTAGCAAGGTAGTGTGCAGCCACTCTGAAACCTTGTCTTATTGACTGCTGATAACTCCCAACTGAAACAGTTACTATCATATGGATTGCTCATTTTGATACAGCATATTCCAGAATTTCTAGCAATGTATGCAACACCTCCAAGAAATGATTACAAGAATTTCTCGTTACTTGCCCTGCTATCCAAAAACATTACTTTGCCTCTGGTTGAGGGAGAGATCCTGAGTTAAAATACATTTGAATATTTTATTCAATTTAAATGGAATACCTCAATTTACCCATAAAATAAAATGTCTTTCAATCAAATATAAACAAGTACTGCTGAAGATTCAATCCTTCATTCACTAATATGTTCCGATCTCTCCAAGATTAAAATATACCCTTTTTTACAGCCTTAGTTATCTCAGAATCTCCTCAAACCACTATTATTAATCAACTAAGTCAAGTCTTAGAAATTAGTGTGTGCACTCAAAATGACAGGTTTATGCATGTTATGAATTGTTTTTATATATTTAATCCACGCAATATGTTCACTTCCATTTGCCATAACTAAAGAAATATAGATGGACCACGCATTCCTAAATGGGAATGCCTACTGAAAAGGTGAAATTCCACAAGCAAAAATAAATTCCTCAGGAATGTAACATTTTGATCCCTTGATTATTGCTAAGACAACACATGCTAAAATGTTACAACTTGCATAGATTGAAGATCAGTTGAGATTTAAAGCATTTGGACACATAACTACATCTCTAGACTGTTAACAAAATTATTTTGGTTTATGTAGAAAAGAGTTATTGGCAACTGTAGGCATCAGATGACCAGCTACGATAATCATCTGGAATTATTACGTAATCCTTTTTTTAAATATTGTAATTGTATCCTATTCAGTCTGTTATTTAACTTTTTTCAAAAGTGTCCTGTGAAACTAATTATACTGTTTGCTTAAATAAATATATTAACTCTTTTGCAGTTGAACAATCAGTTATTCGGCTAAAGAATTTGGCCACGTAGCTAGTATTAAACAACAAAAAAAAGTTGCAATAGTGCTAAATACGAGTAGATAAAGGATATAAAAATACATCTAATACAAGTAAATGCACCAGGAAGGCCTGAAAACTATGGAGTTTATGGGATGTGATGCACAATTCTTGTTACAAACCACCACCAGAGGTCTAACAAAAAAAGGGAAAGAATATTAAATAAAAATTTACAACTGCCATCTTTTGTATTTGAATTTTTAGTGGGAAAAACAACCCTGATAAATGTAAAGATATTCCAGAAAATCAAAATCCACGAGAAATCGGTAAAAAAGAAACTTCTGTATTGTTAGCCATGCGTGGCTGAAAAGTCAAGATAATAAAAATAATAAATATATATAAATGTATAACGTTATGGGATTTAAGCTATTCAGTCCAAAAATTTGTTGTTGTTTTTTTGTTATAATCTGTGGTTATTTTAGAACAAAAAAGGAATAATTTATATTTATTTCCTAATTTTTTAAGGTGGTTATGAGATCAGTCATATTGACCAAAACCGTAGAGATAAAAAGTTTTTTCGTAAGCAACGTTTGATAACTGTCTGGACATTATAAAGATTTCGCATGTGAGATTTGATAATTTTCTGATGCATAAAAGTATTTTTAATCTTAAAATGAAAATTACTTTGCATGTTGGATAAGAAACATGCGAAAAGAATAAAAGGCATGAGAAAAACATTGCTTAACAAACCTTAGGACTTAATAAAACAAAATCTGATATTTTATGTAAAAAATCCTTGTAATGTTTACTGATAATCTGCCAAATTTCGTGAACATGTGATTACTAATTTAAAAGTTATGGCATGAAAACCATAACAAGCACAAAATGGTTATGAGTTCAGTCCCAAGGACCAAGTCCGTGCTGAAAGAGTTAAATATTCTAACCAACACTGCGTGTCCAAGTAAGAACTCCCACACTGTGGTAAAAGTTATAGATGGCTCGGACAGTTTAGTAGATTTAAGTCAATCCTAAGTTCATAAACATAAAGTTAACAATGTGAAATAATCTTTATAATAAATATTAAATCAAAATTAGTAGAATGTAGAATAATCATAGTGAAATAATCAACAAAAAATAAAATTAGAAATAATAAAACAATTAAACAAAAGTACATATTTTAGATATTCTTCTCAACACTGTGTTTATTCACTGTGGTAAAAGATTCACTTGTTTAAGCCAGTGTCCAAGTAAGAAGTACAATACCATGGTAGACGTACTTGCTTCAGCCAGCTTTGTAGGTTTAGATTGTTTATAAATATATTAACTAAGCCAACAAGTTGAAATAATATTTCCAATTAATAAAGGATTGGGTATAATGAACTTACTATTATTGGTAACGCTGACATGAAAAAAACAAGATTCTTAAAATATAAACAATGATAGTTGCACTCCACAGAAGTTCCTATTGAAGACAGAATAACAATCTATGAAAGTGGGTGTAGAATTGCCTTATTATGAACACATGTTAGAAGACTACTGGATAGATAAGCAGCCTCGTAAATGGATGGGACTTTCGTAATCAAGACTGGATATGTTCTTACCAAATGTGAGAGACAATGGGTCATTATGTTGGAAGTGGCTTAATATATGTTTAGAGGAAGGTAACTGTCTGAAATGGAAAATCTCAACAAGCTATCTACATGTATGATGTAGTACCTCAAAATCAATAAATCTAACTTGTAGATATCTGGATACTCATGATAGTTGGTGTTCAGTTATTTATGTACAGAACTGGATTCTGTAACATTCCATGTTTTCCTTTATATATATAATTTTCCCTGGACATAAATACTTAGGCAATAATACTTTTGTAAGGACATAAACACTTAATACGTGAATATAATTCTTCAACTTCACATAATACATAATTCTACTGAAATTGAAAATTTTTCTAAAATTAGTAATAAAAACAAAACCTTGTATAACCTGCACACTTCAAGCAAGTCTATCTACAATAAAAATTGATCTGATTTCTTAATATTCCTACCTTCATCTCTGAAACCTATTCCACTGTCACTGTTGCTGCTATTGCTACTGGTGTGGCTGGGCTGAGGAGAGATGTGAGCATCTATGTCAACTAAACCAGGTGCAGCATCGATGTTTAGGCCGAGTCTACTTTTGTACAAGCCTGTTATAACCTGTAAGATGGGTTCTGCAGATTCTGGAAACTCTTTACATCGATTAGTTACTGGATTTAATGTACAAGAGAGATGGAAAGCTTTTGCACGCTTCAAATGTTGGTGATGGGGTTGAAGTTTTGGGTCAACCATAAACACATGGCATGAACTACTAAGTGCTGAAGGAGAAACCCTATTTTCTTCAACAACATCTTCATTAACATTGTGAGTAGTGACCAGACCAAAAAACTTTTTATCATCAGAGTAAACTCCACTAAAAGTAATCTTCTCAGCTGGAAATTTTGCTAAAGTTAAGCCATGGGGATTAGTAAGAACAACACTGTCAGAGAAAACTGATAACAGAACTAAGGTATGAACCTTTTTTTCTATTCTTAACCTTCGAATGCAGTTCCTGATGGCCTGAAGACGACAACTCTGTAATTGAGGTTCCTTGGGCATTTCAATTGTCCCCAAGTAGCCAACAACAGCACGTAAGATAATGTTACTTGATGAACTATCTTCTTTGTCTTCTTGGTCACACTGTCTGCTTCCTGTTGGGTATAGAATATTGTTAAGTTCTTGCTCAGTGAAGACTGAATGAAATGGCTTTGTAACACCAGATATATTTAGGTGATCAGGATGACTTTGGCTTTTTGGAAACTTCTGATCTTTACGTTTTACTGAATTTGGAGTTTGTTTGATTTTAGATATGACCCTAACTCCTAGATCACAGACTGGAGAACCAATTAAACCAGAACTTCTAGAACCAGATCCTCGGAGTCTATGTTGTAAAATAAGATCCAGTAAGGGTCTGTTAGCCCTGCTGCCCATGTTGAGTGTCACATCAATTGGAAGATTTCCTCCATCTTTTGAATGACGTTTCTGATTGGGATGGGGTGTAGATCCACCTGGTAAATCTACAAACAGAGCTCCTGATTGAAGATCCTGGACAACTTTTTCTGCACGACACACATTGAACTGATGATGTCGTCTTAAACGATGAGGATATTTTGGCCGAGGTCGGGTGACAGCAACAAACTCTTCATCAGATGAGTCTGAGTAATAATTTTCTGCAATTTGCAACTTCAGAACTCCATTAGAGTTTCCAATTAAACGAACTACATCATCATGTGGAGCTTTCGAAACATTATGTCCATTCACAGCAATGAGAAAATCCCCAGGTCGAAGGCCAGCCTTCTCTGCAGGACTACCTGTGACAATACAGCTTAATATGCATGGTGCTTGTCCAGAAATAGTAAAACCAAAGCCATTCTTTCCCCGGCTGATTTCTACAGTTCGAACTCCATAACTTGGTCTCTTTTTCCTCCTCCTGTTCTGATGCATGTTGATTATCCATACATGTATCTTTCTTTGGTTTCATTGATAAGGATAACAAACTAGAAGAAGAAGCACATAAAGTCAAGTTTAAGTTTCATAAATATCTTATCATTGAAAGTGCTATTTGTATTTGTCACAAAAATAAAATAAAATACAGAATATATTTAGGTTTGACTGAATCATAATATAAATGCTTTTAATAGTGAATTTAATTTCAATGAACTTTCAATTATTTGCATACCTGGTTATAACACACAAATAAGTTACATCTGCATCTCAATCTTCAAAGTTAAAAGAATTAAATACCCAATCTAAAAAAGTACTTGTGATAATTACAATCAGATATGGAATTTAGTCTTAAGAATAAATAAATTCAATTAAGTAGAACTTTAAGCATCTTGCCTTTTTTTAATGTTACCACCTTCCCTTACTAAATATTTTCTTTTTTGTATGTGTGATGAGAAACACTAAACAAATTTTGCACAAATATTTGTATAAATAAACAAAGACCTATTGTTCCATTTAATACTCACTGAATTTATCCTTTTAGTAAGATGGAAATGGCTAGCCTTGGAAACCATTAACATGAATGTGATTCGCTTAATATAACATGTACAAAACCTAGCAAGCAACAGTACCTTTTGACCTATAAATTCATCTCTAACAAAATAATAGAAATACTGGGCACTTGCAAAGGAAAAAAAAGATTTTTAATAAGAATGTTTTTGTAAAGATGAACACAATACAAATCTAAAACATATTCTATAGCAAACAAAACAAAAAAAATTAAATGAGGTTATTGTGAATGGACTGTAGAGTGTAGTACAGTTTAACTGCAACTACTCTGGCAGAACTGGTAATGTACTTACAAATAGTTTAGTTGTACTGTATACCTGTACACTTCTAGGTGTAATCCAATTTAATTCCTAAACAGGAAATGGCACCACTAGCTTATTCATGCCTAGTTTCAGGTCACTTTATTAAAAAACATGTAATAATTCCAGATCAGGTTGTCATTTGTATCACGTACCAATCAATATTATGATACAAGATCATAGCAAAATAGTCTGATGGATTATATCATCAATGAAAGGCTGTATAACCACAGATGATCTTGTAGTCCAAATTATGTACAACTTTGACAATGGTACAAGAAAAGTCAAAATGTTTCTGCTTAAGTTTTTTAAAGATATAATAAATTGAGATGCAGCAGAGCTCAGCTACTAATTGTGCAAAATAAAATATTAATGGTACGACAAATGGTTTAAAAGGGGGGAGAAATTCTGAATCTATAACAAACTGGTAAAAAGTTTCATATAAAGAGGTATAAATGATATGAAAATATAAATTTTGATGATTAAGCAAAATATTTTTCAAGTATTAAAGTAATTTCATTTTAAATAATTAATCAAACTACTAAGTTAATAAAATATTCAGAAAAATTAAGTTTTCTATTGAAAAAAAATTCAATAATCTCAAATAATTCAACAAAATCAGCCACTATAGCCAAACAAATATTTACACAAAGTCCATAAATTTAAAGAAAGGAAATGTAACATTTTTTAAGTTAAGCAGAAATTGTGTTGTAATGATTAATTGCATTTATAATATTCATCTACATGCAGTGGCTAGATACCGGATAGCCAGGAATAATCTTTCAAAAACCTAAATATCCAGTAGTCCAAAAATGTGCATACTGATTAGCTACAATAATAATAAATAATAATGATAT